CTAATCATAGATTAAGTAGGTCTAATCGGGCTCCTTTAGCTAACTATAATCCTTAACTAATCACAGGATCAGCGGCTAAGCAGCATTTTCCGGGACCGGGACATTTACCTGCCGTGGTCCGCTAATAATATGAAAATTTTAACTTAATCCCAGGATTAAATTTTTTCTTCATGCCTGATAATAAAAAGAAAAATTGGTACAATTCGATTGCTTTTCTCTTGGCTTTTACCTCTTTCGAGCAGCTGTCCCTCGGATTAGGAGAAAAAACACATTGAGACTACCTCCGGAGACGGATTACTTTTTTTCAAACAAATAAGTCAGTCTTAAGCATGGCGATTAAGCTTAATCCCCTGAAATGGGCGTAATATTGATGGATTTTCCTTTAAATCCTTCGCCTAATCTCCGGCTTAATCTTCGCGGCGCGATTTTTTTCGCGGCTCAGTCTGTTTTGTTTTTTCTTTCCTTTTCTTCAATTCGCAAGAACGCAGGCCTTTGGGCCAATGCGGATCATAATTATGGAATTCCAAAATACACTGAGGAAGGCAGCCAGAAAGAGCAATGAGGCTAAGCTACCTGTAAGCGTGGGTATGCTCTTCGACTATCCCAGGTAAGCAATGAACCAGACCAGCCTTGAGTTTGTTGGCAATTAAGAAGTCAAATTTCGCTTAAAAACCGAAGAAAAAAAGATCGTAGGAAAAACAATGCAAAAAATGTGCAGAACTGAACTAAATCCGGCTTAAGAATGGCTGTCGTAAGATCCGTCCGTCATAAACAAGATAAGGGTGCCTAGCTGGATTGTTGATTTGCATATTAAAACCGATCGTAAACGAATTCGCCGCGAAAATAGGCTGGCATATGTATGTACGTACATGCCAAACATCGCAGTCAGCTGCCCTAGTATTTTTCATTAGCCTTGACTTTTTAAGAATGTAAGCGGTTTGAATTTTTTACCGTCTGCTGATGACTAGAGTTACTTCCGCTTTTTTAGTTTTTTATGATAAGCCCTACCTGGGGTTTATGACTGTTTATGTTAAGGGAATAATTTAATGGAGTCTTCTTGAATGGAACGAGCCGAATTTATCGGACGTTCATTTTCGTCAAAGCAACTATTTATCTCATATGGCTTTCTTCCAATTAATCCTGACCACTTTATGATAGTATATTTATAATTAACATTAGTTCAGGACAGCCCACGTGGAAACGAAAATATGTTTGAAGTATCTAACACACACCCAGAATGTGTTTCCTAGGCAAGAACCTTTCCCGCTGGTCATTTTGACAGAGACGGATTAGTCCCTTATTCCTTTTGGCCGGGTATCATTTGCATACCTTCTTTTGTATTTTCTTAACATTAGCGAACATTAATACGATTTATTGCTTGCTAAGAAAGAGCAATTTGCAAGGAATATGATTTAAAAACAACGAATGCAAACAACTTATGTGACACTGGTCTCTAGTTTCTCTAGTGCGTCCTAGCCCGGCGGTTGCTCAGCCACAATCCATATTGGCACGGGCACGACGAACTCCGCCAATCCTAAATCTCTGTTTCCAAGGCAGATTAGTTTGCTTCCTTTAGACATTCACGAGCCTGTCTGAGTCTTCTTCATATTTTAATCATTGCCATTGTGGTGACATGTGATCATCTTCTGCCTCGTTTGGATATGGAGCACGCATGGCATGCGATGAACAAGCAAGATCAAGCCATAGGTTCGTATTCATTAAATTAATATAAAAAATGATCCTGCCCCTCTGCGGGAGTGATCCTGCACGCGTCATCAGAATGCTATAAAAAACAAGACGTGAAATATATTTTTAGGGATGCTGATGACGGTTTGAAGATGAGGGTTTGCATGCATGTACATACGTACAACATACGCATGTGTGTTCATACATACATATACATATGTGGTAAAAAGTATTAATTACGAATACATTGTGACATTTCTAACCAGGTCTTATTTCGGTGCTTTTACCAAACATATTCTCTCGAACTTCTGTACTTCGATATTTTTCATCCTTTAGCTGCCAGAAAATGTTGAGCAGACTGTTTCCAAACCTCTGCTTAATCTGCGACTATTATTATCCTTTGAGAAACGGGTATGGCTATACCCAATCCCCTTAAGGAGTTTCCATCATATTAAAAAAGGGGATTTGAGTCATTTTAAATTTAAACAATATAATGAATAATAATGAAAAATATAGTAGCTAGTCAAGGCTTGCGCAGTTTACATCCGCGGATTAGGCTTAAGTCTGCAAGTCTGGGTTTAAAGTATAAGGATTTGTCCCCAAATCGCATGATTAAGAATCCTTCATAGAGGTTATATTCCAAAGTGTTCATGAAAATCAAATAACATTTTTGCGATAGTCTACCTTTTGTCCCATTGTTGATATTCTCGTCCGTATTTCCTACAACATTATCACATGGTTACTACTCGATTGCCTATAAATCAAGAAACCACACCCTTTAGAAAAAGCTGATCGAGTGTAACAAATTATTAAAAAATTGTGGGCACACTCATAGGTCGCAAAACAATAAAACACAAAAAAAATACCCCTATGATGTCTCCCTAGGGTTGCTTTTAGGCGCATGCGTGTGCGCGGCTTGCGATTTTTAAGTCTTCACTTTTACTTTTATGTCCGCTGTTTCCCCTTTTTAGCCCAGCAATTGTCTCTCTGTTGACAGCCCCTCGTTTTTACTCGAAATATTTGTACAAATTTGTCGTTTTTTTTTGTAAAAATGTAGAGTTTTCATCTTTTGTTTAGCTTTGGAGGTTTTTTGTTTATTTTTCCGGTCCGGACCGGTAAGGGTTATGTGTGGCAGTTGCATTTCTATCAGAAATGAAACTAGACACGTGTAGGATGATGGAGTTACTATACCAATCCGCTGGGATAGGTGATGAGTTAGGACAGCTTAATATGCTGGTCTATTATATTTTTTGAGAGCCCGACATAAAAATATAAAAGAATAGACAGACAGAAATATACATTTGTTCATAAATATGTATATACATATACATGTATGTGAATACATAGTATGAACGTATATAATGCACAGACGCAAGTATGTATTAAGAACCGTAATCTACAGTCAGGGTTCTAGGTAGTGTTGACCCAGGTTAGTTTTTCTAGTTTAAGCCTTATCAACACACCACACGCACTTTCAAACGCACTACTGCCCCACTAATGGCTTAACATACACAAAAGGGGGTGAAAGGCTCTGTCGAACAATTTTCGATCATTTCATAATTTAAATCTCTACTTTAGTTTGCGTCTACACATAATCAGCAACGTCTTATCGCATACGGCCGGATCTTATTCAAATCGGTTGAGCTAAGATTCTTTGTCAATATTAAGAGAACGGCAGCAAACATATAGAAAAGTACGTCTGACTAATCCGCAAACCTGGGAATTAGCTGACGATGTGCTCGAACGAGTCAGATCAGCCCAAAACCCCGAAATCATTATCAACAGGGTCAGTTTGGGTGCTTGAATTTTGTTTTAATGCCTTCTGCGAATTTTTGAGTGTTTTGCGAAAATGTTCGCTGAATCTGATCTTGTTCATTGGTTAACAAAAACAACTCGCATTTTACGTAACATTATGCAGAGCACGAAAATCCATGTCCTTTTTGGCCATTGTTATATTTCACTTTCGAATATTTCCTCGGTAGTTCGCATTACCCTCCCGCGGAGTTCTCTGTTGCGTTCGTCCTTGGCCTACCTACACAAAGCAGCAAGAAGATCTAGACCCACTTTCAACATAAGTTCTGCACAGCATGTCCTTGCAATAAAAATCTACATAAAACGATTTAGAAGTCAATCCGCAAAAGTCACTGACAACGTGTACATATGTACTTACATATGTATGTATCTGTTGACTGTTTTTTATTAAGGGCATTTGACTTGGTTTTGGTTTCTACCTGGCTTTTTTTTATCAGTTCCTTTTTATGACTATTTTTTTAGTCGTGTGCCAACAATTAGTAACCAATTACGCTCAAAATACACCTATACGTATTATACATATATGTGTGTAAAGCTATTTTTACAGAATTCTCAGTCGCCATCCATATTCGCTTTCGAAGATCCATAACATGATCAAGGGGCAATACAACACGATTCGCAACCGTGTATGGCATTCCACAAAGAGAGCGAGAAATAGTGGAAAAAGAAAATCTATTAGATGAGGGGAAATGGACTTCCTCTTTACTCTTACAGCGCACGCTTGGATTTCCACCCCATTCATGACAGCTCTTTTCATGAGTTTTGGGTCTTTCGCTCCCGCTCTGACTCTATTGCCCGACTTTTGTCAAGTATATTTTTCATCCCCTTCATTTCCCCTTCTTGCCTATGTACAAAGGGGAAATTTTGTTTGAGGGGAAATTCGTTTTTTACCCGTTTCGAAACGATAGTCCTATTTGTTTGCTCCATTTTAAATTGGCTTCAAGTGCACTTTTTATGAAGGCTCTAAAAAACCAAGAGCAACGGAAGTGGCCTTAACATTTTAGGGCCTCTGATAGGTAGCGGATAGTTTAGATTTTTTATATTTTTTATGACTGCAAAATATAAAAATGCATGGTCATAAAAATGTGAAGGTTCTTACACGTACGGCGTAAAGTAGTCAAGAAGTCCGTTTTTTGTGAACTGTATAGTACATTTATATGTATGTCCAGATATGAGTACATAAGGACACCACGCATTTGAGATTTTAAATATTTACTAGCTATCCTTGTCACTCCACTTTGCATACGAAAAATCAACAGTCGTCGCTCTTAGGTAAAAAGTATTTCACTCTACCTCTTCGGTACTCGGTTCGTTTTTCGCCGTCGTTTCAATTCCTTCCCTACTTGCTTATTTGCGCTGGTGTGTGTGAGAACGGGAGAGCAAAGTGAGCGTGTGTGTGCTCTACGTTGGCGAGTGTATGCGTGAGGGAGGGCGATGTCAAAACGGAACAGAGCGTACTTATAGTTAGCGCACGCAGCGAATTTGTATCATTCGTGATTTTGGTTTGGTCGTGAGAGGAACAACATAATTCCTCTATAAAGGAAGAACACCCCATCAACTCACACACACGCAAATTTGTTGCTTCGAAAAGGATTCGTCAGCAAAGGATACTTCCAGATATATAAAACGTGTTCAGTAGCTCCCCTATATCATTCCTCAGCGAAGTCTCCTCACGTCAACATCTAAGAATTTTTGTGTCTTCAAAGAAAAAAATAAAAGACGCGCAACAAACCAAATACCTCAAGGCAAATACTATTGCAGAGAAAGTAATAAAATAACTGAAATATACTACAATCTACCTCATTTTGTATAATCGGCGAACTTTTATAAACATATGAAGAAACATAACACTCTACCTCAAAGTACAAAAAGTGCGTGAAACTAAAAGAAAAGCATATCCCAGCAAAAGTGCAGAAAACTTTGCTTAAATGAAAATTGTGTGTTTACACTGATTTAACTAAAAAGTTATCAAGTAAAATTACAGTTGGTTTTTGCTCAAAGCGAGACAAAAACAAAAAGCACAAAAAAACACAGAAACGAACACAGATTAATGGCTATTTCAATGCTACAGGACGCACAGACACGAAGTAAGTATCTTTTCCCAAACACCAGCAAGGAGAGTTATCATTCAACATTCGAAACTTTCACATAAGTAAACTATAAGTTAGATCTGTAGCAATATGAAAGCTTGCTCTTTAACATAGCTTTGAGATAACGACGACCCAATGTGTTCATCTTAATGTTAAACGCCATTTTTACATCTCCACACCCATTAAAGCCTAGTCACTCACATATTCCCTCACATTCATCTTGAGCAAATATGTATTGTTTACAAGTTTGGACAGAAAGAAACCGGCACTTAACTCGTTATTGCAAGGCGCCCGTCAAAACAAAGGGCTGATATCACAAGACAAAGAGCAATGAAGAGAGCAAAACCATGAGCAACACTCTCACACATGAACATACATACATATGTGATGTTGTATTTCTCTTAAGAAATTTCTCTCTTAGCAAAAGCATCTCTGGCTCTTGTTATGACGTTTCCATCCCTGTCTGATTTTAATGTAAAATATTACGTATAAAAAAATACAAATATTTTACTAACTTTCTTGTTTTGTTTTGTTTTTCAGGCCTAGCTGCTGCTTTAGCGGGAATCAAACGGGAGGAGGTCGCTGTAGACCGTTCCATGTCACTATCGCCTCCCATGTCGGCCAACACATCAGCCAGTAGCGCCGCTGCCATGTACCCGGGAATGGGTCTACAACAGGCGGCTGCTGCATCAGCCTTTGGCATGCTATCACCCACCCAACTGCTCGCCGCTAACCGACAGGCGGCTGCATTTATGGCCCAGCTTCCAATGAGTACATTGGCCACCACACTGTTTCCACACAACCCGGCGGCTTTGTTTGGAGCTTGGGCTGCCCAGCAGTCGCAAATGCCACCCCAGGGAACGCATTTGCACTCACCGCCCGCCAGTCCTCACTCGCCCGTGTCTACTACACCTTTGGGTGGCAGTGGCAAGCACCCATTGACCTCTCCCAGCAGCACACCACAGCACCGTGAGCCTGTAAAGAAGTCTCGCAAATTATCGGTAAAGAAGGAGTTTCAGACCGAAATAACCATGAGCGTGAATGATCTCTATCACACTCCGGGTGGACCCATTTCTCCACCTTCCAGCGGAAGCTCGCCCAACTCTACACACGAGGTGGGAAACGTCAGTGCGGGAGTTACTGGTGTCGCATCCAAAGATCCTTCACGCGACAAGAGCTTCACCTGTAAGATCTGCTCACGCAGTTTTGGTTACAAGCACGTCCTGCAGAACCACGAACGTACACACACTGGCGAAAAGCCTTTCGAATGCCCAGAGTGCCACAAGCGCTTTACCCGGGACCATCATCTGAAGACTCACATGCGTCTACACACAGGAGAGAAGCCATATCATTGCTCCCACTGCGATCGGCAATTCGTGCAGGTGGCCAATCTTAGGCGTCATTTGCGCGTTCACACTGGCGAGCGTCCGTATACTTGCGAAATATGCGACGGTAAATTCAGTGACTCCAATCAGCTGAAGTCTCATATGCTGGTCCACAATGGCGAGAAGCCCTTTGAGTGCGACCGTTGCCATATGAAATTCCGTCGGCGTCACCATCTGATGAATCACAAGTGTGGCATTCATTCGCCACCCACACCGGCCCTGTCACCTGCAATGAGTGGAGACTTTCCCATGGCAGTCACTTCCATGTCTCTAGAGCCATCCGAAAATAAATTTGCAGCTATGTGTACAAGCTATGGAGGCTCTGATGGGTCAGTTGATCTCGAAAAAGGTTCTTTGGAGGACGAGGCTCCTTTGGATTTGTCTGAGGATGGTGCCAGCTCAGTAGATGGTCACTGCAGCAGTAGCATGGCACGTCGAAAGGCTCAAGATATACGTCGTGTATTTCGTCTACCTCCTCCCCAAATAATGCATGTACGCAGTGAAATGCCCGAACAAACCGAACCTGAGGACCTCAGCATGCACTCGCCCCGCTCCAATGAATCACAAGAACAAAATGAAGATATTGAATTGGACGATTTGGACGATGCTGCTGCTCTATATCTGCGTCAGCACTAAATCAGTCATATTCTAAATTGTACATAGCCTTTATCAGCCTTCATTAGATGAAGTTGACCGGCAAAAATCCACACTAAATTAAAAAAAATTAAGTTTCCAGACGGAAATTAAACTTCTTTTGAAACAGGAATTTAATGCGAAGTACAAGAAACTAAAGAAAATATAGATATTTTAGCGAAATAATTGCACATAAATTCAACAAACACATAAGTTGTACAAAATTAGTTAAGCCTGCCAAATGCTTATCCCTGCCAAAACCCACCAAAGTGAATCGAACATGTTGTGCCATTTTTAACACCTAACTTACGTTAACTCACGAGTTTTAGTTAATTTTCAACTCAGTAAAATTTGTATATACCCAGCAAATGCAGCTGCCAATTGTAAATTATACAGCGCTCCAAAAATACTATTTTACTCTCACTGAGAACATAAAATCTATCAAATGGTTAATAGACTAATAATTATATTTTAAAGAATTCTTAAAGAACGCAATGCCAATCAACATTAAATCAAAATTAACTTTAAGTTAACAATAGAAACAAAATTACTTGTACGCTATTTGTTTTGTTTGCCATAAATATTTAAGAAACCTAATTTAACTGATTAGCTCCTAATATTTTATTGCATGAAACTTTTTATCACAACCGAAAATATAATATTATCTTTTATCTTCCTATTCAAAATCATGTTTAGTTGAAATGTTGCTGAATGCAAGGGAAAAATAAATTAATTTCCAAAATTATAATTTTTGTTTACTTTATTATTTTTCTTTGTGTAAAGGCAAATGGTCTACAGCAATAAATAACCGTAACACACAACTTCTACACTCTTCCATATTAATAATAACTTTTAATTTTGAGGCCCTGAAAACCAACAAAATATGTTCCCAAGACATATTTGATATACGCAAAGCTCAATACACAAACGATACCTATAATGTTAAAATGTAATCGATCATATTTCAAATGTGAAAATATACAGTTTCTAATCGTAAGTCTTGAACCAAGTAAACAGGAAAAATGCTATAACCAAATACCTCCAATACCTCTTTGTATCAAAATTGTTGTGAGCTTAACCGTATATACATATGTATGTACGTAAGTATATGTACAACAATTTAGCAATCGTACAATTCAACTGAATTTATATACAAAAATTAGACAAAAATATCGAAAAGGAAAAACAAAGTTATACATAAAGTGATTTTGATGTATATTTTATGTGGATATGGGCATAGGAAAAAAACGATTTTCGAGCATTTGAAGAAATACAATTTAAGTGTAAATACTAAATATACAATCATAAATACTAAATATAAAATCTTCTCTTTGTACATACTTTAGCCTGTGCATATAGTCAGAAATACGAAATTACACTGCATACTAATTTTAGTGCAATCTTTTGTTCAAATCATCGAGTGGTAATCAAACTTTTCGATGCATCCTTAGTTCAGACGTTTTAAAGTCAAACAAATGCAACAAAATATTGTGTAATTTTCTTTGTTCATTCAAGTGTATGGTATACAAGTTCCTCAAGATTAAATGATTACAAAAAATAAAATCAAATAGTGAGCGCCTCTCGAATCCTTCGAAATTCAGCGCATGGCACAAAAGACCTCACACATGTTTCATATTGATTATGTACATTTAACACCTAAACGAAAAAAATCGTAACTATTTAACCTTAGCTTGTTTAAATGTTAGGTGTAATTAAATACTTAAACTATACATATGTACATATATACATACGTAAGTGCAAAGTCAATTTTCATGCATGTAAATATTATACTTAATACGAGTCATACTTATGCAGCTCAAAATACATAAATATATAACCACATACAAAGATACGAATCTAATTTTACGAGTATAACAAGTGTCATATTTAGTCATTGAAAAACATTAAATAAACCCAGAAATCATATTTAGACGAATTATAATTAACAAAAATATTATAATTAATATGATTCAATAGTATGAATTTATACGATAAACGAGGCTTACCATATAAGCTTTGTCATCTTGAGCTTTTATTTTAATGTTGTTGTCCTTGCAGGCCACAAAAAAATTACATTGCATTCAACTATAATCTATTATGTTTTCAAAAGAATTGTGTGTATACAAAACAAAGAAATGTACATACATACATAAATAAATATGTACAATATAGTGCATTATTGTGTTAAAAAAAATGCCGTAGAGTTTTTTAATCAATAAGCTAAGAAATACCCCTCTACAAAACAGAAAATTAGCTGAGACATCGAAGGCTTTTCTTTTTTTTCAAAAGGCGACAACGGGCAGCATTATATACATTTTTAATTTATGCAAACGAAGCCCTTTCGCATTATTTTACATTTGCCACAGGACGCCCCACTAACGCTGTCGCCACCACCCTCTCCAATCCTCCCCATTACCTAAAGTCTCCCCTTCCCATCATCCCCTTACCGGAATTTGAATTTGCGTCTGAAGGAAGCAGCAGCTGAGCAAGAAAAAGAAATAAAAAACGCGCCGCGCAGCCAGAAAATGTCACAGTGTTTTTCCCCATTTAATCTCCAGTGAGAGAGCAAACAACTACAGCGAAATGAAGGAAAGGCGACTCCCACCGTCAATCCACCCATGCTTCCAACCGCTCGCATTCAACCTTCCAGTAAAACTGACGCCTCCACTGCTTTGTGCCCCTTTCAACATCCAAAAAAGGCTTCATCCTGTCCTGGCAGCCTCTATGTAAAAAAAGCACCATGTAATACATAGAGGGCGTATTATGTGCTTACATAGAGGAGTTATAGGGTGAGAGTGGGAGCCAAATGTTCGCGTACTGCGCTGCTTATTAGCATTTTAGCCTTTCTTTGCTTGGCGCTGACTGAAATGTGGCAGCGTACACTTAAAAAAATTGGGCTGGGAAAAAATATCAACAATTATAAGGGTTTAAGCACTATTTCAACGTTATATGTATGTGTACGTATAACTATGTATGTATTAGCTTATTTATTTATTTGCATCATATTTTCAAGACGCAAATATTTATCCTATATTCTTTACTCTATATAAAGACAAAAATAAGCAGGATGCATATGGAAGGCCATAAATACGTGCATACTTACAAATGTATACATAGTACATACATAAATAAATGAATGTATGTATTTGTGTACGTAGTATGAAATAGTAATTACTTTTTTTTAAGCATTTTTGTAAGTGCAGTCCCCACTCTCTTCCCACTGTCTGTCTTACTTTCTTCTCTCTCTCTCTCTCTATGTTTCTCTCCTTTTCCATTTTACTTTTCTACTATTGAGAAAATTATTTGGACTGAGAGGCAGACAAATTTTTTCTCAAATGAGTTTACGAGTGTTTGGCTGTTAGAATTTTTTTCTTTTCGTGTGGAAAAAAAAAGAAAGCCCTAAGAAAATAAAAACATTCAAAATAAATTTAAAGGCTTCGCAGCGAACCACGAACGCCACCAACTTCCGTTCATTATTCAAATTGAAAAATTATGATTCTCACCCGCGACTCGCCAGAGTACGAAAAATATAGCAGGGACAAGCACGCAAAACCAGAATCGACCAGTCCAAGCTTGGCACCAAACAGAGCAAGCCATTCTAATAAGCTCAAGCCTCAAGTGCAATGGATGATGGAATGGAATGTGAATAACGGGCGGTTGTAGAAACGACATCTGAGCCCCGGTTGTTTTCATTATCCCGAGGCTATTCGCCGCAATTAAATCCATAAAATTATGAGTTTTAATAATATAACGGATTTGCCGTTTAGTCTTAAAGTCGGATGGCATCCATTGTATCCTTATAGGAACACTTAGGTGCCTTCCTTTTTTAAGTAAGTCTGGGGCGCAACATTGTAAGTTATTTAAATATGTACAAATATGTACATTTGTATGTATGTATGTACATATGTTATATGTATGTGTACAACTCTGGCTTAAATTGTACACTTGGATAGTTGACAGGATGCCACCCAAGATTGCTTTAATGGCTCAAAAAATTAACAATAGTTGCATCAGGATCAGAACAAAGGGTTCAAAGAAGCAGATTTTTCTCTGCACGAAGAGGCTCAGACTCTGCCAAATTGAGTTCATGGTCTTTTTTCGGTTTTCATTCTACCCCCAGCAGTGCCTGAGAGGGCATGCGAAAAACGGGCATGCAAATTTTGGCAAACACAATTAGCAAAGATCGGGATTAGGATCGTCCTGCCAAGACAATGCGAGAAGAAATACATTGTTCATAGTTACACAGCACGCCGGCCACGGAGAAAGTGAAAGAACGATGAAGCACAGCATGTTGGGAATATTGTAAGTACAAAGAAGAGAGAGTTTAAAGTAATGGAAACAAGAACTCTCATTATAACTTAACATTCAGGATTTCTACTCCTTTTCAGTGGCAATTTACGAGTTCTGCTCTCTCTTATCAAGAAAGCCCCCACAGCATGAGGGGGAATAAGATGAGGTATAGAAAAAAAAACAAAACTGAAAAACAACCCTCTCGAGAGCATCAACTGCGACGCCGTCAGCGGCGTCAGCAGCAACGATAACGAAAAACTCATTTGCATACGAAGTGCTTTCGCTTTTTCTCTGCCAACCCCTCCAGCCCACCAGCCACCTTCGTTGTTTCAGGCATGGCGGCATGGGCCACCTGCGTTTGTGTTAAAAAGAGATGGACGCTCGTACGGGCGTCTCTCTCAAACCTTGGCTTTAATCAAAGAGTTTAATGCTGGATGAGCGCAGCCAAACCAGTGGATGAGGATGTAGAGATGTTCCTTTACTTCCTTCGTCTTCGACTGTCTCGCTGCCCATCTGCTCATTATTAAGCACCGAGCGTAAAACTCATTGAGACGTTTTGCATTCCCACACTCTATCCCCGTAAGGCACCCTTTGTGGCAAGCTTTTCCAAGCAGCAGCTTTCAGCTTTTGCTCTGACTCATTTTACTTATATTTTTGTTCGTTTTTGTTTCTCTCGAGTTGCACAAGAAGCAACCTAAAAGCAAAAGAAAAATTTGGTTTAAAGAAAATTACAAACAACCCCTTTGGAATTAGAGAAAACCGAGCAAGGACAAAAATGGAAGAGGGAGAGGAAAAGGAAAGGGGGTAAGAAACGCTAACAGAAATAAACGTATATTATTCATGGCATTAATGTCGTAAGCAAGAGTAAACGACAGTACGGCAAGGAGAGATTTGATGGTTTGGTTTTTG